TTCGAATTTTAAGCCTTTAAGGTCTCCAAAAACACAGTTTCGCACATGCAAAAATCACATTTTGAAGACACAATTTACGCTAAAAATCCAAAATAAAAACAAAAAATTTAGATAGCAAAAACGTAATGTTTCTAACCAAAAATATATGACAAGAATTCATGTACACAGCAATATGTTTTAACTTCAAAAAACATCTACGAATCGCATATTCTAGGTAGCGAAGGAATCTACGAACTACGCACACCTCGCTTGAATAAATTAACATAACAACAACAAATTTAAAAAAATACCATGTACACAGCATTCTGTTAAAACTTAAAAAAATATATATATACCTATGAATTGCACAATCTAGCCATTGCGCACAAATCAACCAAATAAACTAAACTAAATTACAAACAATTCAAAAAACAATAACAACAGAAATTCACGGTAAAAAAATAATGAACATAACATTCTACAAAATAAAAACAACAAAATAAAATGCACTTACCATAATACATTTGTTAATAAAATTTTGCCAGTCACACAACGTCTGTGAACAAAAATGATTTTGCTACATCACATGTCTTTCTGCGATTCAAAATTTCGAAAGTAATGATAAAAACTTCCTCCAAAGTTAACTTACTACACGAAAACCACAATTCAAATCTTAAACTTTGCTGACAGCCACATACTTTACCAGCAACCATTTGACTGCAAATCAACACAAAAACTATCAGAAACGACCTTCTTCGTCCGAGTTCTCACAGCAGCTCTGCATTTCGGACTCCGTTTTAAAACTCCAACAGAAATTCCAAAAATACATTTCTATCCTCATAAACACACCCGTGAACAAAACACTCATTAACAACTCCAACATTGTACATTTTAATACTAAACTTACTTTCCATATAATCTAAAATATGCGACTGAAATATTGCCACCATATGTATCATTGCAACATAGGTCATTTCAAAATACCCACGACATGAACCAAGGAGCAATTAAACCAATCCAGCAAAAGATTTTTCAACGTCAACAGGGTTGGCATACAACACGCAATTGTGCCAAAAACTACTGCAAAGCACATATCGCCACATTTGGTGATATTAGGACGCATACAACAGTAGAGACAAAAAAAGCTTAATATTTATTTGTTTACCTTATTAAACATTTCTTTCAATGTAAGTTGTTTAAGTTGCTTCGTTTTTTGTGCTAATACTTTCTCTTTAATTCTGAAGACAGACATAATCTCTTGTTCAGTTACATTGTTGAAGTAACTGCTGTTTGGAAAACTCCAACTAACTTGCAATAGAAATTTTCTCATTTTCAGTAACTTCTCTGTCACTTTCTTCACTATCGGTAGTGGTATTTTCTGGATCTAGAACCATACTACAGATTTCGCCATTCATTAATTGAATGATGATTGAGAAACGTTGTCATCACAATGAAAAACTTCTTTTATATTGTGGAGACATTAGGTATTTTTGGAAGCAGGCAAGATGAAAAATTAGCAACGCTTTCACTGGGAATTGAACCGCGGTCCTCTCAATTACGCGCTAAGCATGCAGAACACTACGCAACGAAGGCTTGTTAAAAAGGTGGGAGAAATACCTTATATACTCCCCCATTTTATGGGCGACTGGGGTTTTTAGGGGACCTAATTTACAAATTCTGGGTGAGGAGAATCACTATCCAACAGCCTTTTAGTTCGGGTGATACTGTAGAGACATTAGGTATTTTTGGAAGCAGGCAAGATAAAAAGTTAGCAACGCCTTTGCTGGGAATTGAACCACGGACCACTCAATTACGCGCTATGCGTGCAGGCCACTACACCACAAAGGCCTTGTTAAGAAGGCAGAAGAAATACCTTATAATATAATCTTCATTTATTATCGCTTCTCAACATTTCTTTACAAAATCCTTTGTTAAAAAATTTTACCTTTGTTTTGCGATATCCGAAAACCTTTAAAATTAGCGTCTATCATCAGATTAGAATCATTTTTGCAACTTTCCGTACTTACGTCTAATGATAAGAAGAAAAAGTAGAGAGGACATAAACTTGTTAACAGAATGACTTTGAGAATCAAAAGTTGAAAATTCAAGTAATTTTGGGAAGCACTTCTGCAGAGAACCCGGTAAATGTAAACATCGCCAACTTTGGCAATAATAGTTCAAACCTGGTAACCCAGCGTATTTAACGTATTCGCATGGTGAAAGTTTTCAACCATTCCTCTTGCGTTCATTTTGTGAATTATCTGTTGGTGTTTCGATTTGGAGATTTATATTATTCTCTCTTATTTATTATTATTTTTTCTGAATTTTTTTAACAACGAATAGATAGAAATATTTTCACATAATTAAGAAGTTTTCGTCGAAAGATGCTGGTTCTTGGCTCGTCAGTTTGGGATCAAAGGAAAAAAAATATGGAGGGAGGGGTGAATGCTAATTTGTAACATGGGCTGTTCATGTTACGTTCTTAATTATTAACAGCTGTAAGCACGCAGAACCATGAGGTTTCCAACCCCTATAATAATTTTAAAATGTATAAAGTTCTAGTTTATTAACAATGCGACTGAAGAAAATTTGATTACTGTTGAAGGTTATTTGTATTGTGAAAATATTATGAAAAAGGACAGGTATTTGTTTCAACGTAAAATGCTTTAAGCTGTACGCAAGTAACGTGGAAAAACAAAAAATACTGAAATCTATGTAAAATGGATAGGTCATGCATTCATTAATTTATTACATGGGCATGGCTCTTACCGAAATACATCAATCAACAGGGAAAGTACTTAATAATAAAAAAAGACACTTGTAATAAAAATATTAGTATTCTATATGAATTAGAGAAAATACATATAAGTATAATGTAAATGTAAGTATAAGAATACTAATTGTTATTTTTTAAATGAATTTTTAAATCCCGTTATGTTTAATACATTGTTTTCTGTGCTAACTTGAATTTAATACAAATTTATTTTCGTATATCACGTTTAATGTGTTAGTTTTACATCTACATATTTATTATCTGTGAATTTTTACTACATTGTCTGCTAACTTGAATTTACATACACTAAAAACCATGGTTACAAAATATCACGCTTACGGCTCGGCTCATCGAGCTTGGCGAGTAAAAATGCAACGGCGCCAACGGGTTCTCTGCGGATGAAAACCCTAATTTTGTTTTCAATGTTCTTTGAAAAATTCTCCATAAAATAAAATATTCATCAAAAATTAATCACAAAATATGTCCATTTTACGATATTACCATCATTTTCTCACACATTTTAAGAATCATATGCCTTTAAATAATGCCTCCAAATCCTGCGTATGCAAGTTCTAAAATCGAAAAGACATTCCTATAAACTTTGTGCAAGCAAACAGACACAAGATTTTTGAATTTTAATAAAAAAGGAAAAAAAAAGAAATCAGCTAAAGCGCAGAATCACCCACTTATTTGGCACATTGTATTTTGCACTTTTTACGAGATTGATAAGTGCACCAAAAATGGTATCCAAGTTCATTTTGCTGTTCTGGAAGGTGATTTTCAGAACATTTTCAGGCATGCGTAGTATGTATTTTAAATTGAAAATTTCTTTTGAGCGTGAAATTCGGAGCATTTCGTGCGTGCTCAGTATGTATTTTAAAATTTAGAACTTCTGTTTGGTGTAGACGAAAATAGATGGTAGAGGTGCAGTTATTTTAAATAATAATTCGAGAACATTTTGAGAATTCGTTACTTTTCGTTCATCAGCTGAGCGGAGTGGATTACCCCTTTTCAGGTAAGTGAAAGTATTTTAAATTTTTAGTGTTTTGTAACAATTTTAAGTGTTTGAAACTTACTATGTTTTTGAAACGATTCTTAGTTTTTAAAATTATGTTTTTGTAAGGAATGAATTTTCATATTTTAAAATTTTTTGGAAGTGAAAGTATTAATTTTTCAGGGTTTCGTAAGGATTTTAGGTTTTTTAAACTTACTATGTTTTTAAACAATTTTAATTTTTAAAGTCATTAGGTTTTTTTCAAAAGATTTCCAGTTTTAAAAATTTCCCACTTATTTGTTTGGTGCTTTTTACAAGAGTAAGAAGAATTGGATTTTTATAAATTGTCTTTGACTTTTTAAGTGAAAATAGGTCGATGTGTATATGGATAAAGTCAAGAGAGTGCGCAATGCCATTTTTGTGCAATTCTGGGATGTTTTTTCAGTGAAAGTAGGTCAATGTGTACACGGATACCGAGTTTGTAAAATTCTTAAAAACGTGAAAATAAGTCGATGTGTACATGGATAAAGCCAATTGAGTGCGCAATGCCATTTTTGTGCAATTCTGGCAATTTTTTTAAGTGAAGTAGTTGATGGTCTGGATACCAAGTTTGTAAAATTCTAGAAACGCATCAAGCAGTGGGTTGATCAGCACTTTCCCCAAATTTTTTTATAGGGAATGAATTTTATTCTCAGGGTTTGAACGATTTTAATTTTGAAGCTTACTATATTTTCTTAACCATGTTTCTTTTTTTAATTATTATGCTGTTTTTAAAGGATTTTCAGTTTTCAAAATTTTGCTTCAACTTTTATTTTATTTTACCTGTTCACCATTGTAAATGTCGTGCCTTGCGTAGTGTCTTCTGGAGGGGCTGCACAGAAACAATTACACAGGATATAGTTATCGAAAAAAAACATTAAAGAAGAGAAATAAAACTTTTAAGATAATTAAAGTAACATTTTTGCTTTTGCACAGTGTTTTCGAAACTACCACACTTTCCAAAGCACCTAGCAAAAGAGCTAGCAACTATGGCATTTATTAACTTGTTTATTATTCTAAAATATGTGTTTTATAGTATTTATTATTTTATTCTTCAGAGCCAAAATATTCCTAAAATCTCAAAATGGAAAATAATTTCATCTTATAGTAGGACAGCAGAAAATAAAAATGAATTCTTTTAGCATTCTTTCAATATTACATGAAAAATATAAAACAGTTTTCAAAATAAATATCTATTATACATAGATTTCTTACCTGCAGAGAAATGAAGCTTTCCAAATTTCTTCTCATATCCACTACAAACCTGGGATTACTCAACTTTAGTATGCCTAAGATTTGACTGAAAATGCAGGTGCTTTCATTTCGGCTTTTTAACATTGTTATGGTACACTGCACTGATTTTGTTAACTTTATATGCTGACAAATTCGATACTGGAGCGGGTTAGGCATGGCATGGCACTTGTTCAGGAAAAGTAGAAATACCTAATATATTTTTCATGACAGGCACCAAGAATGGAATTTCTACCTGTAATGTCACAGTAATTCGTAATTGTATGAAATTCATAAACAGTTAAGTTTAACACAAAACGTATATAATTCACAGCATACATATTGGATGAAACATCTAGCTACCTTTTAGAATTTCAGTTTTTGAAGTTCTTATCCACATTTCATTATGCAGCAGATACAAACCTTAAACACTTATTACCATATAAAAATATCTTGAAAAATAGTATTTGATCTTGTGGAAACAAATAAATGCTTTATAATAAACTTTCATCATATCAGAATTTATGTTTTCCCACTGGGTCACCAGTAGGTTTTATGTTATTCAGATTTGGTTCTCTAAATTTTAAAAATTTTGCTGCACCTAAATTCTGTCAACTGATGAGATAAACCAAACTTGAACTAAAATAAGGTTTTCTAGCTGCACAGACAAGTGCTTACTGCAAAGGTTAAGTAAAAGTTGTTTCTAATACATGCTCAAAACACAGGAGGTTTCTCTTTTGCGCAGATAAGAGATACATGTCTTAACTTATTTCTTACCGTAAATGACTTGTTATATATGTAGCTCATAACATTAGTCTCTTAGGATGATATCCATATTTAAATTAGTGGCTAATCTTTGGAATATGGTAACAGGTAGTTTGGTGACATTTTGGTAAGGCGATAAAGGTTACTAGCTAGGACTTTAGCAATAATCTGAGAAGTACACAGTTCCAATCACAGATTATTTTGTCTCAGAGAAACGAGAGATCATGAGACATGTCATGTGACATTTATGGACGAATCAGAGTTCTTTAATCCAAAAAGGGGGGGGGAATTCCAAAAATATCTGCAGTACAGAATTTCCAAAAATATCTGTGTGAATACGCATATTGTATGTTCAGCTTCATTCCATCTTGTATCTTGTGTGAAACAGTGTTGCTTAATATTTGGATCCCATGGCCCTCTCTAAAGTAAATTTCAAATTTTTATTGCATTTATGTGATCATCCAAAAGAGTTGCTTGAATGGTGTATGAGTGTATGGAGTATGGTAAGTTAGCATTTTTAATCATTTGAAGAGATTATTTATGATTGTTCTAAATAAGCAATAAATAATATGCTGTTCCTACATTTCGTGCGATTTTCTACTTTGAGAAAAATTATTACATGTTTCATATATAAATTTGCCCTGTAAAAACAAATTTCTCTGCACGTTTGTTTCACTACTTTCCGGAAAATTCTGATCATGATTTTAGCTAATAAGCACTTAGAAACAATTTCGCACCTAATCTTCGTCATGATTAAGCACTTTTGTTCCATAAAGGTTCTAGCATAAGCGTAATTCGGCTAGCAGATTGTTGGAAAAAATGTTGAGTAAAAAAAAAAATATGCCTTTACTTCATGAAAACAAAATGTCGTCAAAAAAAAAAAAAAAAAAAAAAAAAAACTAGCAGGTTGCTGTAGCAGGGTTGGTCGCCAAATTACCATAATCCGAAGATTCACCAACTTATCTTTATGAAAATGAATGAATATTTACGTATCATACACAAATTTTCTCTCTACTGTGAATAAGCATATGCCTGTTTAAATTGCCCTTTTCACTAAACATCTTCCTACATACTTCACACATATGAGGTTTCTCTCCTGTGTGAATACGCATATGCTTCTTTAACGTATCCTTTTCATAAAACGTCTTCTTACATACTTCACACATATAAGGTTTCTCTCCTGTGTGATAACGCATATGCTTATTTAAACTAGGTCTTTGCTTAAATGATTTCTTACATACTTCACACATATAAGGTTTCTCACCTCTGTGAACACTCATATGCTTGTTTAAACGAGCTTTTCGATTAAATGACTTCTTACATACTTCACACATATAAGGTTTCTCACCAGTGTAAATAAGCATATGCTCCCTTAAACTACCCCTTTCTCTAAACGTCTTCTTACATACTTCACACATATAAGGTTTCTCTCCTGTGTGAATACGCATATGCTTGTTTAAATGAGCTTTTCGATTAAATGACTTCCTACATACTTCACACATATGAGGTTTCTCACCTGTGTGAATATGCATATGCTTGTTTAAATGATCTTTTTGATTAAATGATTTCTTACATACTTGACACATATAAGGTTTCTCACCAGTATGAATAAGCATATGCTTCTTTAAACTACCCCTTTCTCTAAATGTGTTCTTACATACTTCACACACATATGGTTTCTCACCTGTATGAATGAGCATATGCTTGTTCAAAATAAGCTTTTCACTAAACGTCTTCTTACATACTTCACACATATAAGGTTTCTCTCCTGTGTGAATGCGTATATGCACATTTAAATAAGCTTTTCGATTAAATGACTTCTTACACACTTCACACATGTAAGGTTTCTCACCCGTGTGAATAATCATATGCTTGTTTAAAGTACCCTTTTCACTAAATGCCTTCTTACATACTTCACACATAAAAGGTTTCTCACCTGTGTGAATATGCATATGCCTGTTTAAACTACTGTTTTCACTAAATGTCTTCTTACATACTCCACAAATGTAAGGTTTCTCACCTGTGTGAATACGCATATGCACGGTTAAATGAGCTTTTTCATTAAATGATTTTTTACATACTTCACACATATAAGGTTTCCCACGTACGTGAATCTGCATATGCTTGTTTAAAATACACTTTCCACTAAACATTTTCTTACATACTTCGCACATATAAGGTTTCTCACCTTTGTGAATAAGCATATGCCTGTTTAAACTACTGTTTATACTAAATGTCTTCTTACATACTTCACATATGTAAGGTTTCTCACCTGTGTGAATACGCATATGCATGTTTAAATGACCTTTTTGATTAAATGATTTTTTACATACTTCACACGTATAAGGTTTCCTACCTGTGTGAATCTGCACATGCTTGTTTAAATTACACTCTCCACTAAACATCTTCTTACGTACTTCACACATATAAGGTTCCTCTCCTGTGTGAATTAGCATATTCATGCTTAAATGAGTTTTTTGATTAAATGATTTCTTACATACTTTACACATACAAAGTTTCTTTCCTCGGTCGGGTAAAGTGCAGAATTGTCTACTTACTTGTTTGGCACTTTTTACAAGAGTAAGAATTTGATTTTTGTCAATTTTCTTTGACTTTTTAAGTAAAAACAGGTCAACGTGTACATGGATAAAGTCAAGAGAGTGCGCAATGCCACTTTTGTGCAATTCTGGGATGTTTTTCTTAAGTGAAAATAGGTCGATATGTACATGGATACGGAGTATGTGCAATTCTTAAAAATGCACCAAGCAGTGGGTGATTCTGATTTTTCCCCAATAAGCATATGCATATTGAAATGAGCTTTTTGCCTAAATAACTTTAAATGATTTTTGTTTGATTTAAATAAAATGATACTTCACACCTTGCTTCTCTCTTTTGTGAATAAGCATATGTTCGTTTAAACTACACTTTTGCCTGAATGACTGATTAAATTTCTCATTCACATGAAATCTGACCTCCGTATGGGTATCCATAAGCTATTATTATATATTGCATACACCTAGACAGGAAGGTTCTTCTTAATACTAAGAACTATACACTTGTTACATATATCAGGATAATGTTTATGCTTTGCGTAGATACAAAATAGGGTAGTTAACTCAATTTCACCCCAACTACTTCTGGATATTGCACAATTATTTTCAGTGGCTTCTGTAATTACACACGTAATTATCTTGATCAAAATATTATTACATATTGTTCATGAGACTTATCTAACGTATTGTATAAGCTTGTATTGATTTCCAGTGTAACTTCAGTAAAAATCAATTTGTTACATTACACAGAAATACGATTTCTGCTCAAGAATATTTACGTAATTGGGTGTTAATTTAAGGAAATTCATGCTTTATTATTATGACATGAGGAGTTGATTCTTCTAGATTTGTTAGTTAGTGTTTAACAGTTGCTCATAAATTAAGAATAAAGAGCACATTTCAAGACATCGGAAAATCCACATTCCACACTGGTAAGTGAATGACTACCGAGAAATAAATCTGCATTTTAATTTGCAACGTTTCATTTATTACTTCATATGTCAGACAGACAGTTCCAAAATATACATTTCTCGCTGGCTTCGCTCACTAGCGGCTAAAAACAGGAATAGCTGAGAGAGCTTTGGCTGAGAGCAGCTTCTTACCAAAGACTGAGAAAATAAGACTTCTTAATGAAAACAATTTCTATTTGAACAATATCTATTTTTCTATTTCTATTCTTATTTATCTATTTTTGTAAAGGCTGAATTTGCCAATGAAATTAAAAGCCATTTTTTTTTAACTTTCCTTTTATTATTTTTTAAAATAAAAAACTGTTCGGTGATGAATCTGGCAACGACTTATTCATATGAAAACTGAAGTGAAATCAAATGAAAACAGATTTAAATCTTTGTTTCCGATTAAGTTTGTCGTCTGTTATTCTTAACATTGCAGGTTTGTCGAAAATGCTTTGTTTACCCATCACACATCAGACTGAAAGTATTTTTTTGGACCTCAAAGAACGATATAGGATTTTTGTTTTAAAGCAAAGGTTTGAGCTATACTTTTGTGTGTATGTCTTATCAGTCAAAAAATGGATATCTGTCTCATCAAATATAATCTTCAATATTAAATAACGTTTGTTAAGATCAATTAGAGTATCAATATACTGTAGAAATTATATAGATATCATTATTTTCTTTTTCGAATTCTTGATTTAAATTTAACAAAAGCTCTTAGTTATTTTTTTTATGCTTTGGATTGTTATGTAATCCAAAACGTAATCCATATATATTTAATCCTAGTATCCGGTGCACACGGGATTTGGCTATTTTTGGCGACTTTATGATGAGCAATAAAAACGGGACATATACGATTAGTAAACGGGTCATTCAAAGAATACATATAGTTATACATAGTATATACTTAGTGTATAGTTATATACATAGACGTTGTTTGGGTATGTATATAGTGTATAGTACATAGACGTTATTTGGGTCATTTTTGGTGTTGGCGATAATTTTCAAAATCGCGCCAAGGCTGCACCGTATACTAGGATTTTACCTTCGAATTAAAAGTCATTAAAAGAATTCTGGAATGTTTTCTTAATTGCTATTTGATTGTATGTCAAGTTTATTCTTTATAGGTGATCCAGGGTTATTCTCTGCTGGTAAAATGAATTCAATATGTAGGATCTCCACCTGTTACCCTGTTTTGCGTTTCCTTCTGTCGGATGAAAAAGTACCTTGGCATGTCGCATTCCCAGATTATTCTCCACCAAACTATTCAGCTCCTCATTTACTCAAGAGTTCATGGGCTGATCCTGACATAAATGAGTAGGTCTCGTCTTTGTAGAACAAATCTTTAATATCTATGCTTTACATGTTGCTTTTTTTAATGTCATGTGTTATAAAACAAGTTAATGGAATTAAGAATAGCTGTTGCCTGTTAAAAAGTCTCATCAATTATTTCTGTAAGTTGTAATACTAAATGTATAATAGCATCGGGTATTAAAACTACTTACAGTGGCTTACATTTGTTTTCAGACACTAGTATTTCTCAGTTTTATTTGTTAATGTCAATTATTAAAAATCAGCAAGATGACTTTTCTTTCACATATACATATCTTTTTTTTTTTTTTTTTTTAAATGCTTCTTTTTGTAAAATTATTAAAAATGTTTTTGGTAAAACAAATATTGGTTGATCTTTACAATATGGTAACTGGTAGTTTGGCGACATTTTGGAGGCGATAAAGGTTACTACCTGGGACTTTAGTAATAATGTGAGCAGTACTCAGTTCCGATTACGCATTATTTTGTGTGAGGGAAATGAGAGATCATGGGATATGTCATGTGATATTAATGGATGAATTACGGTTCTTGAATCGGAAAAGGGGGGAAATCGGGAACAAATCTGGAAATTTTGTATTTGGTTTATTCTGTGTTGTGTGAAACAGTGTTCGTGAATTTTTGGATCCCATGGCTCGTAACTAAGAAAAGTTTATCGGACACGTAATCAAGATTCTGAAGAAGATTAGATTAGGTAAGTTAGTATTTTTAATTATTTGACGATATTATTTTATGCATTGTTCGAAATGTAAGGTGGAAAGACAAGGAATTTTGTATTATTGGGAAAATTATTATTAGCAATGATTTAGTTTAAAGTAATTAGGATTGTAAGGTAATTTTTATTAATTTAATGTATGTGCTCATTTATATTTTAAGTAGTGTTTTGAATTTAATTATATTTAATGAAATGATAGTTATTTTGTGAATTTTATGTTTGTAGGAATTTGGTATACGTTTAAGTTGAAATAAACGTGCATGGAAATAATTTAAATATTTGATTACTAAGTATTTGTAATGCTTGCGGTATGAATTCGTTGGTGACGTGTATAATGTAATAGATGATTTAGAGGTAAAAGTTTTTGGATATTTTATTTATTTTATATGTGGAAATGTTCATATTTGTAAAGGGTAAATACTTTTTCGCGATCAGGTAATTTCATATATGTTCTTTTTACCGGGTTTAAAGATTGAGAAAATTGTCATGTATTTTCGTGAAATTTTTCTAATTTATGAGAAAAAAGCAGTGTACATGGATATAGTGAAGAGTGTGCGCAATGCCATTTTTGTGCAATTCTGGGATGTTTTTTTAAGTAAAAATAAGTCGCCGTGTACATGGTTTATGTGTATGTGTTATTTTGAAAAACGCGTAAGGAGTATGGTATTGTGCACTTTGTTGCAATTTTTGGAGAACAACTTCCATATCTTGAGAAGAAGCTTGTGGAGTTGGATGAATCTCTCCAAATTCTTCTTCGTTTTCGAAAATAACTCCCACAGCATTTACTCTAGCTATATACTTTCTGATTTTATTCACGTGAACATGTTTTACTTTGCCCATTTGAGAGTTTGAACTTTATATGAATGAGGTGGACAGTAGTTTATAATCTGCCCTGGACCTGTCCATCCTGCATAAAGTTTATTGGACGAAACATTGGGAATAAGGCAAATAAACGTTTGTCTCCTACTTTTTGAATTCTTTAGGTATAGCTCGACGATTAAAGTAATTCGAATAAGCTGCCTGTTTCTCAGATGCTATCAAGGATGCTTGATCAGCTGCTTGTTCTAAGTTTATTTTCATTTCTTGTAAATAATCAACAACTGATTGCTTCATATTTAAGGGTATCGGTATTTCACCACTCCAACTAGATTTCAGAACACTCAGTGGTTCACGTATCTCTTGACCATACATTAACTTGAACGGAGAAACCCCTGTAGTATAATTGGGAACCTCGCAATAAGCAAAGAGCAAATATGGTAGATACTTATCCCAATTAGATGGATCCATACGGCTGATGTGATGTAGAGCGTTTTTCAAAACTCGGTTGTACCTCTCGACAAGTCCATTACTAGCTGGGTATCCTGGAACTGAAAATCTAGGATGACATCCAAGACGCTTCATAAATTCTTGTGTCAGTTGAGAAATAAAGTTAGTTCCTTGGTCACTTGCTATGATTTTCGGAATACCAGTTCTTGTAAATATTTCCAACAGAGCATCACAAGTAGCTTTTGCCGTTAAAGAACGTAATGAAATGGCTTCTGGCCAACATTAATGTTGATCCATTAAACATAAAACATATTTATGTTTCCTAGCCAAAGGAGGATCTATAGGACCTATAATATCGATATTAACAACTTCAAATGGTAAATAAGGTCTTGGAACTGGGGTAATAGGAATTCTATCAGTTATTTTTTCGGTACTTCTTAACTGACATGTTTCGCAAGATAGGCAATATTCAGTAATATCATTAGTCATATTGGGCCAGTAGAAATTATATCTGATTCTCTCTTTTGTTTTCTTTATTCCCATGTGAGCCCCGAAAACAGATTCATGTGCTAATTTTAAAACATCTTTTCTTCGACTCTTTGGAAGAACTAACTGCTGAACCGAATCTCCATTACTTTATCCTTATGAAAAATTATATTATCAAGTTCCATAAAATTTCCTTTCCCCTGCTTTAAATTAATTCTGACTTCTTCTAAAGTTGGGCAAGACATCTGCTCCTCTCGAAATTTTAATACATCATTACGTTGATTATTTTCTAATATCTGTATTGGAGTCGTTACTGAATGCGTGTTGGCATATGAATTATCCCTATTTTCTATTTTAGTTTCTTCATATGGCTGAGGAATGTTTATTTCAGGCATATTTTCCACGTAGTCTAAACATTTATTCGTTTTGCTTTCCAAATTCATTTCCCCTGTTAAATTTGTTTCCCCCTTCAAACTGCATCCGTCGCGCAAGAGTTCAAAGGTCTGTATGGGTAATAAACAATCTACGTTCAAGCGATCTGTTACCGCCGCCAAAATGTCTACCAGGTAGCTTAATAAATCAGAATCCTCATCTTTCAGTGACATAAATAATTTTATTAATTTCACTTCTATTTCTTCGCCAAATGCAGATATTAACTTAATTTTTCCATTATCTTGATCACTTGACGGTACAATATTACTGTTTAATACTGGAATTTGTGTACCTGCATCAATAATAGCATCAATTTCTTTATTTTCAACTAATATTTTCACATATTGCAAAGGCTGAACTTCAACTTGTTTCTTCTCGAGGTATTCTGTATTAATCTGGGCCACAACCGCATCACTTTTCTGTGATTTATTACTTTCGGAAGTAGTTTTATTTTGATTTTCGCTTTTAAATTTTTTCTGACAGTCTTTAGCTATATGTTGGAAAGATCCACAAATATAACAATCCTTTTTAACCCTTTAACTGTCAAGTTATTTTGATGATTTGGGTACACAAATTGTCAAATGTTTTTATTGGAAAAACCAAATGTAGCCGAAATAAACATCTCCCGATATATATTCGGGTATGACAATACGATGCACTCAAAAAAAAAAAAAAAAATTACCCTGAGAAATACTCAGGTGTGAGATAATCTCGGGCATGACAGTTAAGAGGTTAAATTTAGTAATTTTGGGCAAACCATCCGGTTTTCGCATAGAAGGGGGTACATAGCGAGTACTTTTGGTTTCAATATTCGGTGTTTTCTGAGAACAGCTACCGATATCATTTAAAGATTTTTTCTTACAAGCGAAGATAGTGTCACATTCCTTTCCGATTTCCGCGGTTTTTAACCAAGTATCGCCTTGTTTTACATTTATATGCATGACTGTCTCGTGATCAAGAGTTTGCATTAATTTATCGGCTACAATTAATTCATGGATTGTATTTAAATCATTCGCATTCCTTAAAGTGCAATAGTATTTCCACTGTGTCATTAACCGGGCTGCAAATTGTGCATGTGTTTCCCCTGACTGACGTTTAGCCTTTCGAAACATGTCCAAACATGCTTGAGCAGTTGGCTGATATTCTTTAAAGATTTTATTCTTAACTGCTTCGTAATTTTTAACATCATCTTCACTAACATAAATCAAAGCGTTTGTTGCATTTTCACCTAAAAGATTTTGGCTTTATCAAAATTTCGGCTTTGTATTCTTCTGGTACATTTTTAATCTTAAATGCACTATTCTAGCGAAGAGAAATAAAGTGTCCATGATTGCCGGACGAGTCAGAACAGATATCGTTAAAGTTTTTATGCTTTTAATTAAATTTTCTAATGATGTGTTAGCCGAAAGATTAAAATTAGATGAAACTCTAAGTTTTGTGATTTCTAATTCGTGTTCTTTTTCTAATTTAAACTTTTCTACCTTCAACCTTTCAGCTTCCAATTCTTTAGTGGATTTCCTATTGTCAATTATGGATATTAGCATAGATTTAACGAATTCAGGATCAGTTTTATAATCATTACTGTTAGTAATTGTATCTTTCAGTTCTGTGAGTTTAAGACTTTCATCAGCATTCTGACCTAGTTCTTTTGCCAATAAAAATAAATCTTTTTTTCTTGAGACCTTTAACCGAAAACATTTTGCGACTTTCTTATAACTTCGTAATACAGCGCTAATTAGTTCAAACTATTATAGTAACTTATAATTTTTCTCATTATACAGTTTACGTAACTAAAATTTAAAGTTAGAGTCACTTTAAAATAATAGGTAAGCATAAATAACTTACCTTTTCTCCGTTGAAGCATTAGTTTCGATTCTAATCCTGTCGACTGTGCCAGTGTAAGATGCAGCCGTGTCCGGTGGCGTAATTAATAGACTCAGATTTATCTTTTAATTTATTCACACCATCAATGTAAACTATATACACTTTGTACAAATAGAAATATATAAAAAGGTAGGATTGCTAAATTTATAAAGTTACCACACTGAGCATACTGAGCAATCGGCCTCTCCCACCGAAAGCCAGTCTCCAACTTACCGTTTTTCTGCCTAGAGAGCGCTACCTATTTTCAGGGTTACAGTTTCGGAGGACCAGGCACTACACCCGCCTCGTGAACTCAATCACATTACGGGTCCACTCCCCCTTTGGGCACTTCGTGGAGGTTCAACCTCCACTATTACCACTCCAGAGGAGGGGTGCACCACCTGGAAATGTCTCCAGGCAGCACTGGTCGTCAATTGCTACCTGCCAGTGGCATGGGCGAGCCCGTCACAGAAGGCCGTTACCCAGCAAACCGGGGGGATAACCCCCCGGCTATGGATCCAACCGCTCAAAACATGCCAGACCCCGAAGCTGGCCAATAAGTGACCTTTCCCAGGGCCTTCAGAACCACGAAGTTCATAAATTTTATACCCCCATGGCCAAGACTGCCTAGGTACTGATCCTAGCCAGTAGCTTCGCAGAATTCTCTACGTCTACCCCTGCGGGGGGTTATGTAAATGTTAAATGTAGGTAGCCAGCATTTCTTAATTCCTCTTTCATATATCCTTTCCAGCAGTTTGAAAAGATAATGCTGCCATTTGCAATGTTTTACTGAATGGCAGTCATCCATGTAATGCTGCCATTTGCAATGTTTTACTGAATGGCAGTCATCCATGTTTTTGCACAGAGATCGGGAACAGTGAACAGGAAACTTTCTTTAGTTTTGCGGCGTAAATTCCCAAATACCCATTGTGAAGAAAGAACACTCCCAACGTAGTTTTTTCTTTTTATGAAAAGACCTTCGTCTATTCCCACAATTTTGTGGCTCTACCAATTTTATTTCTTTTCCGAGACCTCAAAGAATTTGCATATTCCTCCCTCAAGTAATTATTCCAATCTACAGTCATGGCCGATTTCTAACTGAAGTTAGCAAAATTGAATTGACATAAATGCCTGACACCACAGATAGATAAAACAAACGGCATTGAGGAAAGAACGATGTGAGACTTCAAACCATGTTTTGGTTCTCAGTCCTTTTTTTTTTACACAGCAAAAATATGCATAACAGTGCCATATAGAAGCTTTCCTTGAGTTAAATGCTAACTTTGTTGAATGATTTTTAGAAGTCTCCTGCTATGAATTATTCCTCTGTTCTGAAGATTCTACTTTAACTTTTGCATTATGTGAACACATGCTCATTTTCATTATGTAACGATCATTTTATATATCATGTATATATTTCATTTCTGAGGTTACAGCCCTCTTTTTTCTTTATTTTTTTAGCATTGTCTCTTCCACCCTCAAGCGACCTCCTAAGTGTTGCACTTCTTGTCCAAAATACATGTGATAGAGGTTAATTTTGAAATGATGCACTTCAGTAAGAATTGTTATAAGTATATTACTGGTTTTTGGATAGAAAAGAGAAATGACCAAATTTAAAAAGCCATATAAGGGGCTCTTACATATTGAAGTTAGAATTTTACAATTATGTGATGTAAAGAATATGAAAAATAAATATCCTAGCTTAAATATGCTCTAACTCCTTAAGTCTGCTCGTTTAATTTAGTTATTTCTACTTTATATTCTAAACATAGACGCATAGGCTAATCTTTACTATACGGTACCCCTTGGTTTTTCTCTGAAAAAAATCGCTAAGTGGTATTGGTTGTTCATGAAATCTGGAAGCCTGCTGCGTGAAATAGATTTTTTGGTAACCCTAATGTTGATAATGGTAATGAAACTATCCTTGTGGATTTTTTTTTTTTTTTTAAAGTTTATGGTCATTACAACGGAGTTATTTCTGCGAATATCGCCAAACATGTTATGATAAATTTAGATTTTGGCTATTTTTTGTAATAGTAACCCTTTCCGTATGGACTCAGGATTTTGGTTCTTACTATTCTTTTCCATTGCTGTGGCTGGTTGCACATGCATGGTATAGTCTTGTATTTTGCTGTGGATACCATCATTTGAGTATGTCTGAGGTTTAAGATGATGAGTGTTGATGGGTTCGATTATGATGAAATTGTGAATTTGAGGTTTTTGTATGGGTTGGATGATAGACGAAAGACATTTGATTATTGCATGAAAGCTGGTTTAATTGCTGATAGATATGAATGAGCTGAAATAACGAAAAATTTAATTGAATTGCTTACTTGGAGATGGTGGTGGGAAGACTAAACGTACGCACGTGAAAAAAAAGGTGTGTTAAAAAAATTGATGTTTCATTTATTTATTCGTCTCTGTGTGTTAATTTTTGTTAAAAGATTTCTTGTTTAATGTTTTTATGTTAGGAAATATGTATATTTTGGTTATTTATTCCTTTCTGTTTGTGTATTTTTGGTTATTTGTTTTTCTCTGTGTATTAAGACAGCAGCAAATTTTTTCTGGTTAAAATGATAGTTTTAATTTTGGTTTAAGTTCCTGATTTTGTATAAGTGAAAATGGATCGATGTGTACATGGACAAAATTAAGGCAGTGCGCAGTACCTAGTTTGTTCCATTCTCTGATTTTTTTAAAGTTAAAATAGGATGATATGTACATGGACACTGAGCTTGTGTAAGTCTTTGACTTTTTTTATTTTGGTTTTGTGTAGTGGCCATCTTAAAATTAGTGCCGATCTTGGCGTCAAAAAAGAAATAATTGCCAGGGGGTACCCTAGAGTAAATTTTTACCATAACATATATACAATTAGTCTAAAACAATCTGTGTCATTTCAAAATTAATTCCTGTCATATGATATATTGCTCATTATGCATGTTTCAGCCATTAATAATAATAAAATTTGGAAACAAAACTTTTATTAGCCAATAGAAATGTCAAACCACAGCAGTATTTTTCTTAATCATGCCTTCATGCTGGAATCTGTGCATTCTTCTCTCGCTTGCTGCTCTGCTGGTATGTCGTCATTTATCTTTTTTTATTGAAAATATTTTTCATCACTCACACATACACATATATGTATACTTTCAGTGAAAAATTTCAACCAAAGTGGAATCAAGAAGATGGTGAAATTGATCGACAAAGCTTTGATCAAAACAAACAGATTAAATATGATGTTGTCAATGGTTATCCTTTGAATCCAAAAGGACGTACTGGTCTTAGTGGAAGAGGAAGATTAGGTCGTTGGGGGCCAAATCATGCAGTTGATGCTGTTGTTACACGGTAAAAACTGAATTTTTATTTACTTAGGATTTTTGTAGTTGGTTATCCAGTAGTTTATATATAAGCTAATTCTTAAATTAAATGCAGTTTATGACTTTTATTCAAATTTTTGTGGCTCTTCTATAAAATATCACCAAGAAAAATAGGTTAATGATGTGAGAAAATATTTATCAACTGTCAAATCAGCAAAAGTCTTAAAAGATACAATACCAGACAATGCATTCTGAGACACTGTGGCTCATAGCTGAGACTCACTCGTGGGATATTAAGAAATGTATTCTCTCTGAAATGCACTGATTTTCCATAAAAAGTTATTTATAATTTGGGCTCTTCACCAGTGATAAATTACTGGATATTGGTAGTTTCTGGATCTGACTGGAAGTGGCTTCAGCTGCTTTGGATAGGACTTCATCATTCGAGCTAACATATGCTTTCATAGTGCAGTTAATAGAATGCAAAGTTTTAAAAACTCAGAATATTGACCAGATAAAGATTGAAAATATTTACCTTTGCTATCACTTTTATTTTAACAGGTTATTTTAAAGGGTAAAATAGGCTTCTGACAGACAAATAGTTATTAATATCAAAATGAAATGCTATAGATGAAAAATATATATGAAAACTTGTTTTTTATGGTTTTCACTAATTTTATGAATGAAGAAAATAAACATATTTTTTTTTTATCTAAAGTGCAGTAGCTGGAAATTCAAAATATTGAAGTTTTCAAAATTAAAGAATATATTATATAATTGTTCTGAATAATCCATCCTTTACTTTATTTAACACAAAAGTCAGTAATTTTTAATAGCTCTATTATGCATCTTTTTTTTTTAATGTACCTTCAAATGTGTATCTATATTGCATACCATTAAATTTATAGCTACTTGAATTATTGAATTTAAATATCTATATTTTACATACTCTCTGTGTGATTTATTCTGTAATTACAAGTAGATTTATAGATTTTTAATGAATCTTAGAATCTTGTTGCTGAGAATTTATTCAAAGGAAAAAACCTGGTACTTTTCCGTTTCGCCACCGCAGATCCTACCAAGCAGTCTTTATTGGCGACAACACGCATTATACACATAAAAAATGTTAACAAATGTTAGTTCTAAGAAACTTTTTTTTTGAAGGCATAAACACTTTAATATCATTCAAAATTTTGTAAAAAGACATTAATTTAAGAATTTACTATACTTTCATGGTACAACATCCTGATTTGCTGTTTCATATCACGTGACCCTAAGTGATCTCATCTCACATAAACTACACTACAAAAATCTAATTCTCTCAGTAATTACTTACATTCATTTCATGTTAAATCTTAATTTGGAATACAAGTTTAAATGCAAAATTATTTCAATTCATACGAATAGCTTACTCATAAATTATGTAAGACACAGTGTTTTATTTTGCTAGTGCATTCTCATTAGAATTGATGAATTTAATCCTTGACTTTGCTTTTTCTATATTTTCGCCTTCGGGTGAATGGTGTAATTGCATCTTAATTGACTTAATTCCCGTCTTAATTGACCTTAGGGCATCTTAATTGACCTTAGGGCATAAAATTGAACTATCTGGTAAAAATTTCTGTTTAATTGTATGCCAGTATTGAAAGAAACAATCAATCTGATAAGAAATGGCAGCGACGTGTTTTGAAAATGAGGCATAAAAGGTTTACCAGTGAGGATATTCCATTTGGCATCAGTTGTACCATTTTTGGCGACTTTATCGCTTGCGCTGGCAAAATGGAAGAGTACCAAAAACCCTTATTTAGGAATTTTTCAAAGGTTAAAAGTTAGGAATTTATTCAGCAGGAAAATCTTATTAGGAAGTAAAGTTTATTAAAATCAATCGAATACGTTAAATTAAAAACCACAAAGAGTATTAAAGAATAGTCAGATTGCATAATTGCAATATGTACTATAATTAATTAATAATTATTAGCACAGTCTGCATTTTGTAACCTGTATAGAATTAATTCATATGTAGAAGGAACCTCCTTAACCCTCTCAGTGTTACGGCCGGAATATTCCGCATAGAAGGCTGCCTTTTATATTCATTATACATAATATTTCTGCAAGTTTTTAATGTATCTGATTTCGGTTTGGATGTATACTGGAAGAAAAGGAATCAAGGTACAAACTGAGTCATTTTTTAATTAAAATCAAGAAAATACGACTAATTCATGACATTTTGAGGAACTTTGAAATTTCAGGGCTAAACTCGTAATGCTCGGAGGGTTAATATAGTACTGTCGCATGTGTACAGGTTCGTAATATATTGAAATCACACTGAACTGATGATAGCTTAATAAAATTTATTTTATCAAAAGAATCACTTCACAATTCTGGAGCCTTCCATAAAAATAACTATCAAAAAGTACTATCAGTAGTTACATTTCAAACTGCTAAGAACATTAAACACAATGCAATGCAAAGTGCATCTAAAAAGTGCAGCCAACACAATGCAAAGTGCATCTCTGATCTAAAAACTGGCAACTGCGAAATTGATGCTGTCTCTGGTCTTATATAGTTTTACCCCGACCTCCAAGAAATCTCTAGTAATTTCTGCTTCTCGAAATTACTAGAAGGCATGCGAGGGCTGGATACGGTTACGGCTAATATGGGAATGACCCAGGCAGCACGTCTCCAAAAATATACGTATAATTTTGGTGAAATAAGGGTATGGTATTTTTTGCACGTTACTTTTACGAAATTTATACGAATGAAAAAGGCTGAAGTTACTGTTGACTCTTGATCGTTATTTTCCACACGTTATTTTTACGAAAATTATACGAATCCGAATGTACTGATAAAACTACCGCCATGATGGTATATTTTATTCGTCACTTTTACGGATATTATACGAAGTCTAAAAGGATTGAAAATGAAGTTTATTAATTCAAAATATTTAGTGTATTTCTGGCATTTCACTTTGTTTTCCTTGTCCACGAACATGAAAAAAAAAGGGGCATTCATATATGAGGCTAAAATTTTTCTATAAATTTTAACATGTGAGCTAAATCTTTACGTGCATTTTTGCAAAAAATTATATTTTCTTAATTCAAACATCTTCAAAATAACTTATTTATTTTCTTATATCAATTTTGTTATTTCTATTCATATCAACACTTACATTAATTTACACAATTTAATTTCTTTTATGAAAATCCTATTACCCATTTAACTGGAATAAGCTGTATATTAAATTTGTGTACTTACTGAGTTTGGTACAATACTCGCCTTATTTTATTTAGCAAATGTGGGCAATTAAACTGGAATAAGACTAGCAAATCTTTCATGTCGAGGAATAGAATAATAAATACAGCAGAAGATGCTCGAAAACGTTTAACTTCTTGAACAATAGTTTAATGTAGACCAAAGGATCATTAATTATAA